TCTAGTACTAGCAATAAAAACTACAAAGAATTTTAAGAAAGTATTTAGCTGATAAGTGTCTCTGATATTCAACTTCGATATAGATTTCCACTGCTAGAGATAAATTAAGTGCATAATAGTCAGCAATTTTATTCTATGCACGCTGGCCTTTTATTATTATTGATAAGTCTCCAGGTCTTAATACTAAAAGTTCAGCTCAAATGAGTTCCTGACATAGTTCTTTGAAAATATTAAATTTTTTGCTATGATAAAGAGAAACTATACGTAATAAGCAGTCACAGATTCTGAACAATATCTGAGCAAATGCTTCAACATAGACAGGAGTAATGATATTAGTAATTCCTATAATTGCATCAAAATAACCAGATATTTCAAAGGAGATATCAGCTTCTATAGTGCTTATATAAATTATATCGTCAAGAGTACTCCAGGTAGTATCAATATTAGCAAAATCATCTTGGTGTAGTTTTCTATTCATTTGATCAAAATAAACTCAGGATAAAATGAATGAACCATTAGGTTTTCGCAACTTAGATGTTTAATTAGCCAAGGCTTAGGCTTTTTTACAGCTAGTCATAACAAATACAACATGCTTACTTTCTTGAAGCATCTTAAAACCTCTACGTATACTTTCTAAACCTTTATTCAGATTGTAAAGAAATTTAACAAACTCCCTTTTATGTAGTTGATATTTGTTATCAATAATCTGAACATTTTCACCTCAATAGAATTTTAAGAAAGCTAAAGTTGAGTTATTTGCAAAAGCATTCATAGCAACAACATAAGTGGCTACATTTAACAAATCATGCATAGTATTAGCAGATTCTTGAGTATAAACTCCACTAGCCATTTGATGCATAGTGGTATTTGCTTTATCTAAAATTGCTATACAAGAACAGCCTTCTTAAAAACCAAGACAAAGAATACTTTCAACCTGTACAATAATAAGATCCTACTTATGCGTCTTTAAATCAGCTACAATATTCTGATATTGCTCTACTCTGAAATCGAATTTTTTTAATTCTTTAAGTTTAGCTTCAGATTCATTGCTAAAGGTTTTATGATATGAAACACATATAGTACAAAGTAAATTAGCACTACTTTGAGCTAAAGATGCCAAAATTTTTCTTAATGTTTTTATTTTTCCAGCACCTATAGCAAAACAAATAAGAGTAGTACTAGGCTTTTCACTTAAAAAATCTAGAAAAGTCCAAGAAGTGGAGATTATATGAAAGATTACTCAAGGCTCTATTAACTTCATATCAATTTCCTAAATTACTTGAAGAAAGTATTAATGTAAAAGAGATGAAGGATGTCTT